AACATAGCCAGCTAGCTTCCCTACTTTGTCACCAAACAGGGATTGGGAAGAGAAATGTGCCTAAAACTGGCCCTTGGTGGTGGTGATGGTGGAATACATTACACACAGCTTAGAGGCCTTACCTCTTCCTCAGTTTCTTAGAAAACTCTGGCTTCTCTCTTCAGTGCTTTCATTTCCCTCTCTGTGTCCATGGTAGAGCCCCTGCCTCCTCCCACCCATCACTTGATTCTTGGGAAAGTCAGTACCAGGAAAACTCTAGAAAGAGCCATAACGTATTGCAATCTTCCTGGAGGCCACAGCAGCTCCTTAGATTCAAGAATTGGCTAATGATAGGAAACCACACAGAAACTCAGCAGGTGCCCCAAATAATGGGAAGCAGGAAGCCAAAATAACATCACAATCTCTTTATTATGATTTCCACTGTGTCCAGCCTCTGGGAGCATCAGCTCCTTCAAGAGTTAAGGCTGAGCCATGGAGAGGAGCATGCAGCTGTACTGGTGGGAAGACAGGGCTTGGGGATGTTCCCCTCAGCTGAGTCAAGGTACCTTCCACAGAAAAGAATGTAGGAAGGGTATGAGGGACCAGAAGGCATTGGATCCTCCAGTTACTTAAGGGTTCTCAGAACTCCCCTCACAAGCCTATGTTTGGCTGGGAGACAGATCACAGGCCATCTCTTAAAGGAGGGTAAGCTTGAAGGCTTTTATTTCACATGGATATGGAAAGTCTTTGCTGCTTATACCTTGACATTCTCATCTGTGGTCATGCCAACCCATGCTATACAAACTGGAATGTGACTGGACTTCTTAGTCACTAGCCCAGACCAGATGTGACACACTGTCCACAATTGGGGTCATCAGGTCATGTGGCTCAGAGGGAAGGTTTTCCTTAGTGCTAGTTGGGTCTAGTAGAAATTCTGTTACCGGTTTATTTTCTTTCTAAGGTTGCCAAAAGCAGTGGCAGCAGGAAAGCAAGAGCAGGGGAAATGCCCAGTCCCACCACACACCAGGACTGAGCTATAGGAAACAGGTATGATGCATTAATATTTTCCATTCTCCATCCAGTTCTCTGTTGTCTGAGCTGTAGCCAGGGCCCTGGAGAGATATCCTGGGAAAATTCAAACTAAGTGGCACAGGGAAAGTAACAATTTTATTCCACTGTAAATTGAGGGAAAAGAGGTGCTGCCTGGATGTTATTCTGACATCCAATTGTTCTGTCTTTTGGTGCCAAGTATATACCTGCCTTTACTCTGCTAGTTTGAAGGGGTCATGCTTGTAGGATCACTAGAGCCTGCTATCAGTCCTGCCTGGGTTATTCTTGGCTCTGGGGTGGTCATGGCTAGCCTGAGGCCGTGACAGACAGCTTCTGCTGAGCTTCCCTTTTGTCTTTAGGGCTTCCTTGCATCACTCTTACTGAAGCCATGAGACCTGCAATGGTTGAGGTTGTGCTTCAGACTAAGAGGCCTAGGCATAATCCTGGGCTTACACCCCAGCGAGGTGCCCTCTTCCCAGGCAGTTTGATTCTGTACTTCCAATGTTAGTGATAGGAGTGTGGGAATTCCAAGATATGGCCATAAGGCCAGGGTGACATCCCATAGGGAACACTAGGGCTTAAAGGCATATCTGCCCTTTAGCCCGTCACTTGGGCTGAAGATGGGAAGAGGCAACGTGCTCATGGCTTTGGCCATTCTCAAAGAAGAAAAGCACTTGAGAGTGGGTCAGTACCTGGGAGCAAGGGAACTGCTCCATCTCTGGGATCCAAAGGAGCCACTGCCCAAAATCACAGAGCCTACCTCTGTTAAGGAAGGCTGGTCTCAGGAGAGGAAGCCACAGAGAAGACCTGAAGAGGTTATGTAGCCACAGCTAACCTCCTCCTCTTACCTTCTGTCCCTGCAGCTCCACTGTGTCATCCAGAGGCCCCTGTCTTTAAATCTGAGCATAGGGAAGAGGAGTATTGGGTGAAAAATAGGCTTAGGGCAAAGAGTCTTCAGAGGAGCAACCCTAACCTCTGTTGATAGTGGGTGGAGTGGCTGGTGTTTCTAAAAAGTGTTGATTTCAATTCTGGGCAGCCAAGAAGAAATGACTAGAACATTTCCTCAAACCCTTAGAGTCAGACACTGATTTTTTTTCTTGGCAGAATTTCAGATAGTCACAGTGATGGAAAGGCTTCATGAAAAGGAAAGGGAATGAGCTTCACTTGGTTTATAAAAGTTTGAACATCTTCATATGTACTGTAGAGGGGCTCTCTGGATTAGAACACTGCAGGGGGAGATCCTAGGCAGGGGGGTTGGGGTGGGGCTTCTCTGACTCTGGTCTGGGGGAGCAAGGGAATCTTTTCATTGGTAAAAAGGTAGATGCCTAATGGTAAAGAGGCTAGTTGCTCCTCCATGTTTTTCTGCTTCTTAGGATTCTTGTGGACTGGAGCTCTATGCTGGGATTCCCGGGGCCCTCTGTAGCATGCCCCTACCAAGGAAACTTGCTGTCTTGGAATAGGGAGAGGAATAGTCGCAAATGGGCCTGATACTACCTTGGAAGAAATCTTGCTTTGCCAGGCCCTGAGATATAGCTGGCCTGATCTGGCCCATGGTCTTTCACCACTCATCCACGGAAAGCTAGAAGGTGCAGCTTCAGAGAGGTAAGCATCACCTTGTCTGTGAAGGATCAGGGAACAAGAAGATAGATTTCTAGTCCCTATGCCTGATGATGAAGCAGAGAGTAAAACTGTTCAGACAAAGCCCAGAGCTTGTCTCTACTCAAAATGCCCTGTGAGATCCAGCAGCCCAAGGTCATTGGCATACAAGGTGATTTACCAGGAGAGTAAGTGAGAGCCCCTGTGCTGAATGTGCTTTCATCTTTTTCAGTGCAAACCCCCAGGTTTGGCTGCTTCAGAGGCAGTCCTTGGGCCCAAGAGTCATGTGCTTTCACTTTTTTTTTTCATTCTGGCTAAACTGAACAATGGCCCCACTTACTGATCAGTCTTGGGAGTATGGCTAAGCAGTATTTACAAAAAGCTCTTTTTTGTTTTGAAATGTTCAGGGCCATACACATGAACCCAGATTCACCATCTGTCTGCTTCATTTTAGACCTGAATAATCCAACTCCTGAAGCTTCATTATCTGTTCTATGTTAGGCAGTTTCTACAGAAGGTGCTGTTACCACAACCCTGTTATAGCTCCCCACTTTCCTCTGAGCATCTCAACACTGAGCTGTATGCTACTTCTGTTAGCACCCAATTCAGTACAAGTGCCTTGAGCAATGGAGATATGTTAGTTTTTACATGATTGAACCAAGCCCCTCTCTAGTATTTAGACTAGGAACAGAAACTGGACTCCAGGAACAGGCCTGCCCCATAACATGCAGTGACTTGAGAATTTAATGAGAACTAGGGAGCACAGCTGGGACTTAGAGGCCAGGCTTGGTGGGGAAAGACATGTAGTGAGCAGCAGGGAGAAGCAACAACTCAGGCCATATCTCAGTGAGGGGGAGAAGGATGAACCTTCTTCTGTGAGGCTTTGCTAGGACTTCCTCTGCTGAAGAGGTGAGTTTAAAAAAAAAAGAGGGGTGCCTGGGTGGCTCAGTGGGTTAAGCCTCTGCCTTTGGCCTACGCCATGATCTCAGGGTCCTGGGATTTTAAGCCTCGTGTCAGGCTCTATGCTCAGCGGAGAGCCTGCTTCCCCCTCTCTCTTTGCCTGCCTCTCTGCCTACTTGTGATCTCTCTGTCAAATAAATAAAATCTTAAAAAAAAGAAAAAAAGAGAAGGAAAGAGCTGAGATGCAAATCCTCTTCTTGAATCCAGCTTGTCAGGGTAGTTGAAAGGAGTCCTCGCTGCTCTTTCTGGGCTGGAAGAGGCTGGCTCTTGTTCTCTATCCAATGGCACACTCTTCCAGGTCCACATCTGGGGTGAGGTGGAAAGATGGAAAATCATGAGCTTTCTCTTGTTTTCCATCCAAACCTTGTCTTCATTGGAGATCAGGCTTCAGGTCTTTGGGGTAGTTGACTTGGGTGAAGCATCTAATACAGAGGGCTGTGACTTCTGCCATCATACTTGTTCTATTCAGGCCCTTTGGGCTCTGGGCCTGTGGTCCCATCTGTAAAACAGGGGCCAGGATGGCTCATCTTCGTTTTTGACTCTTCTGCTAAAGACTTTTGGACTCGAAAGACCTGGCTGAGAGGTTCCTAGAATCCTGGGTTCCTGGGAGGGCTGCCTTTCCTTCTTCTAATTAGGACTCCATAGACTAGTTGCCTTCTCTGTCACTAGGAATTAGAATTTAAATAAAGAATGGGCTGAAGTGCAGTGGTGGTTTTCAGGAATTTTTCCACCCCAACATACCCGAGGGACATAGCACATACCTATCAGAACAGTGGCTCACCACAGAAGGGATTTTCAACAGAGGAAGAGGGAGCCTATCAGCATCTCTAGGATAGCATGTGAGTCTGATATGCCCTATTATTAAGAATCACTTGTCTGGGTGATGGACATTGGGGATGTATGCTATGGTGAGAAAATAAATTAAAAAAAAAAACAACAATCACTTGGCCAGAGACTTGTCTATTGGAAATCAGAACTGGCCAATAGAAGAAGTGAACAGAGACCCCTCTCATCTATACCAGGAGCTTCACAAAAGGAACTTTGGTCCTTTTCAACCAAGAAGAACCAGATCTCTGAAGGCATGGACAGTGAGGTGTGTGTGTGTGTGTGTGTGTGTGTGCGCGTGCACATATGTGTGCAGTGGCAGGTCCAGTCTATGATGTGAGGGCAGGGGGGTGGCTCCAGGAGTGGATACTGCCACAGCTCCCAGGGCTTTTCCCTGCAGCAATGCATATACTGCCTCTGTTGTGAGGGGAGCAGTGATTTCAGTTCCATAAAGCTTAGTGGCAAATTGAGATGCTGGCAGTGCTCCATCCCCACAAGTCTCAGTACCAGAGGATGTTGGGGGAAAGAGGGAAAGAGAGAAAGGAGAGGAGGGAGACCACTGTCCCCGAACTGAGCTTCTCTGCTCCATGCTATCCTGGGGGTTTCAGATGAATTGCTGCACTGTTGGGGCGAGCAGCCAAGATGTAGACAACATTCTCCCGCAAGAATGTAGGCCAGTCCACAAATCTGGAATGGAAGGAAATAACAGGTTTGTGAGGTTGGCCGCAAAACCTGGATGCTCATGAGACCTGATCCCAGCAGCAGTATGGATTAAGCCGGGCAAAGCTCAGGGAAGCCCTGGCTTTTGGCTGACATAGGTATGGCTGGCTGTGCTTCCAAGTTGACAGCCCAGCCAGGTTACCCTATGGATCTGGGATCAAATGGACATTTTTAGAGCCTGGTTTCTGGGATAGGCACTTGCTGTTTTGGGGTAGCAGTAGGTAATGCTCACTTATGTGTATTGAAGGGTTAGGAGTGCAGACAGCCTGGTGGGTGAACCTACTCACCTGGACTCCTGCTCTGTGGGCAGCAGAGCCTTGTCCTGACTCTTGCTGCTGCTGCTAGCTGGGCTGCTGTCTGCTATGGGACCCACATGGCTGATGCTGTTGGGTACAAGGATATGTGGTTAGGAGTAGGAAAGTGAAAGGTCTGGCCCCTCCCAAACTCTGGGGAACCCATGGCTCTAGATATGCATGTCCATGCTTTTCTGACATGAGCCACAGTTGAGGATGCCCTATGCCTTGAACAATAAGAGGCAATGTCCTATGTGTAATGCACAGGAGGATTCTCTTGACAGAAGAAACAGAGAGGTACCTTTCGTACCAAGGGCCATTTGGTGTGGAAAAAGGAGGAGGGCATGTGAGTGGTAGCAGGGATTGGTAGGGAACAGACCTGACACTGCAGGAAGGAGCCTCTGCAAGGCGTTTGCAGAACCAAGAGTGCTGGGCTCCACGGCACTCTGCCTCACTGATAGTACTCCCGTTGCCCCGGGCGAGAAAGGTGGCCCGGGCTCGTTCCCGCTCCTTGACTGTCAGAAGCCTTAACAGAGAGTTCTGGGGAAAAAGCAACAAGTTAAGATCTTGGAGGTGAAAATATTTTGTAAAATGTCAAACCATAGAGAATCCTACCTCCATTACCACCTCTGTAGCCTCCCTTTGAAGCCGCCCAGAGCCTTTCTGGTCGTATTAACATTTGCAGTTGGGTCCAGTGCAAATCAATCTTCCTTGGGCAGTTTCCCCAGCTTAGGCACTGGATCATCTGTCACTGGGTGGAATGTGAGCCTTTCCTGCTGTGGTCCCTGCTAAGACAGTACCTAGTGCTCCTCCAACCTGCCCAGCATGCTTCCTAAGTCTCTGTCACCCAATATCCCATAGACATTCACCCCAGTTGGCCCTCACCTGGGGACGCAATTGCTGCAGAAGTAGGAGGGACTCATGGGACAAGAAGTCAGACCACTCTATGTGTCCTCGATGTTCAGGGTCCAGGGCTGCAAACTGGCGGGCTGCCTGTTCCTCTTGCTCCTCGCTTAGAGCCCTGTCACTGTCCCCCCGCTTTGCTGCTTGGTGGCGGTAGCGCAGGAAGTCCTCCAGTGTCAGGGAGCAATCTGTGGGAGGCACCCCATACTAGCCAAGCCCACCCTTTCCTCAGCCTCTTTTTACTTCTAGGGTACCCTCTATTACTTCTAGGGTATACTCCAGAACCCCTATATCCATAGATTTTTGTCTTTTTCTCCCATAGCCAGGATAACTCAGGCTGTGGTGGGTGGGGAAGATGGGTGGGTATGTGGGTGCCCTGCTGGCCAACAGCTTGGGAATAGGGACCTATTTACCCCTACTTTCCAAATTCCAGCATACTCCTTTTTATGGTTCACCCTAGAAAGTATGGAGGAAAATGTGCCAGCCCCTCTCCATCTGGCAGCACTGTCCGGCCTTACCAGGAATGACTTTACACTGCTGAAAGGTCTCTGTGAGGCTGTACATTTCCTCCTCAGTTAGCAGCAAGTTGAGATTATCCTGAAAAAAAGAAAAATCTGAGTCAGTGGCCACATAGACCAGTAAGAAAGGCCAAGGATCAATCAAGAAAGATGGAAATTGTATTTCAACTTGAAGGCACCTCTGGGATCATCTAATCCCAGTCTGTAATCATAATCAAAGAGACTGAAGCTCTAGAAAGGGGAAAGGATTTGCTCAGAGTTGCCCAACTCTGTAGCAGAATCTTCTCCAGAAGCCAGGTATCTTGATTCTAGACCTGAGACTCTTTTACTAAATAGTAGTTTTAAAATTATTCTGAGATACCCTAGGGAATCCTTGGAAGTGCCTTAGGAAGCTGTTGCAAGGGAAAAGGAGACTAATAAATGGGAAGGGTTGTGAATCCCCTGCTCCATCAACCACAACAGCTCCATCTTTATTCATTTTATGTATTTGGCCTCTATGTTAGACTGTGCTCAAAGATTATTTCAGTTAAAAAAGAAGTTTAATTCTAACTCTGCTCCTAGTAGGCTGTGTTACTTTAAGAAATCCAGAGTGGTTTTGAAAGAGATGCCATTATGACGAAGTTCCTAAAACAAAATGAGTTTTTTGTGGTGCCATAGAAATTTTAATTCCAAAATAACAGTGATATGTTATTTTATTAATACTAATTTACAGTCTTATAGTCTTTAAGCTGTCAAAGATTCTTTCCAGTGGGTTATTTTTCTCTCTTAAAATACTAGCAAAGAAGAGAAACAGACATTTCATGAACATTCATTTGTGGATTTCATAACTCAACTCTTTCAATAAGCACTTATTGAGCACCTGGTATATGCTGGGCACAGTGAGGTGTAATATTGTGAAATGTCCAGTGGGGCTGGAGTGTAGGGTGTGTGTGTATGTGTGTGGAGGGAAAACAGAGAGGAATGACAAAGATAAGGGAGAGTTAGGCAGAAGCCTGACTGTGAAGTGCCTCAAATACCCATTATTGAGCTTTTCAAATGGGCTTTTATTCTGAGGTCAAAAAGGAGTCACCAAATGTTTGTGTTTTAAGTAGGGTCTACACCCAGCGTGGAGCCCAATTCAGAGCTTGAACTCACAACCCTGAGATCACGACCTGAGCTGAGATCAAGAGTCGGACACTTAGCCGATTGAGCCATCCAGGTGGCTGATCGAATGGTTTTTAAGGGCATATGTAGTGCCATGGTCAGATCTTTGCTGCATGGAGAATGAATTGGAGTGGCAAAGTCTAGAGACATGAGAAGAGTTAGTTAGCTGTTGCTACAGTACAGGTTAAGAAAAGATGAGTGGTTAGGGTGCCTGGGTGGCTCAGTGGGTTAAGCCTCTGCCTTCGGCTCAGGTTATGGTTTCAGGGTCCTGGGACTGAGCCCTGCATTGGGCTCTTTTCTTGGTGGGGAACCTGCTTCCTCCTCTCTCTCTGCCTGCCTCTCTGCCTACTTGTGATCTCTCTCTCTCTCTCTCTCTGTCAAATAAATAAATAAATAAATAAAATCTTAAAAAAAAAAAAGAGAGAGAGAATGGTCGAGTTTCATTCTTCTATATATAGCTGTCCAGTTTTCCCAGCACCATTTATTGAAGAGACTGTCTTTTTTCCACTGTATATTTTTTCCTGTTTTGTCGAAGATTATTTGACCATAGAGTTGAGGGTCCATATCTGGGCTCTCTACTCTGTTCCACTGGTCTATGAGTCTGTTTTTATGCCAGTACCATGCTGTCTTGGTGATCACAGCTTTGTAGTAAAGCTTGAAATCAGGTAACGTGATGCCCCCAGTTTTATTTTTGTTTTTCAACATTTCCTTAGCGATTAGGGGTCTCTTCTGATTCCATACAAATTTTTTGATTATTTGCTCCAGCTCTTTGAAAAATACCGGTGGAATTTTGATCGGAATGGCATTAAAAGTATAGATTGCTCTAGGCAGTATAGACATTTTAACAATGTTTATTTTTCCGATCCAAGAGCATGGTATGGTCTTCCATCTTTTTGTGTCGTCTTCAATTTCTTTCATGAGTGTTCTGTAGTTCCTCGAGTACAGATCCTTTACCTCTTTGGTTAGGTTTATTCCCAGGTATCCTATGGTTCTTGGTGCTATAGTAAATGGAATCGATTCTCTAATTTCCCTTTCTGTATTTTCATTGTTAGTGTATAAGAAAGCCACTGATTTCTGTACATTGACTTTGTATCCTGCCACATTGCTGAATTGTTGTATGAGTTCTAGTAGTTTGGGGGTCGAGTCTTCTGGGTTTTCCATATAAAGAATCATGTCATCTGCGAAGAGAGAGAGTTTGACTTCTTCATTGCCAATTTGGATACCTTTTATTTCTCTTTGTTGTCTGATTGCTGTTGCTAGGATACAGTGGAAAAAAGATAGTCTCTTCAATAAATGGTGCTGGGAAAACTGGACAGCTATATGTAGAAGAATGAAACTCGACCATTCTCTTACATCGTACACAAAGATAAACTCAAAATGGATAAAAGACCTCAACGTGAGACAGAAATCCATCAGAATCCTAGAGGAGAATATAGGCAGTAACCTCTTCAATATCAGCCACAGCAACTTTTTTCAAGATATGTCTCCAAAGGCAAAGCAAAAAAAAGCAAAAATGAACTTTTGGGGTTTCATCAAAATCAAAAGCTTCTGCACAGCAAAGGAAACAGTCAACAAAACAAAGAGGCAACCCACGGAATGGGAGAAGATATTTGCAAATGACAGTACAGACAAAAGGTTGATATCCAGGATCTATAAAGAAATCCTCAAACTCAACACACACAAAACAGACAATCATATCAAAAAATGGGCAGAAGATATGAACAGATACTTCTCCAATGAAGACATACAAATGGCTATGAGACACATGAAAAAATGTTCATCATCACTAGCCATCAGGGAGATTCAAATTAAAACCACATTGAGATACCACCTTACACCACTTAGAATGGCCAAAATTAGCAAGATGGGAAACAACATGTGTTGGAGGGGATGTGGAGAAAGGGGAACCCTCTTACACTGTTGGTGGGAATGCAAGTTGGTGCAGCCACTTTGGAGAACAGTGTGGAGATTCGTCAAGAAATTAAAAATAGAGCTTCCCTATGACCCTGCAATTGCACTGCTGGGTATTTACCCCAAAGATACAGATGTAGTGAAAAGAAGGGCCATCTGTACCCCAACGTTTATAGCAGCAATGGCCACGGTCGCCAAACTGTGGAAAGAACCAAGATGCCCTTCAACGGACGAATGGATAAGGAAGATGTGGTCCATATACGCTATGGAGTATTATGCCTCCATCAGAAAGGATGAATACCGGGCGCCTGGGTGGCTCAGTGGGTTAAGCCACTGCCTTCAGCTCAGGTCATGATCTCAGGGTCCTGGGATCGAGTCCCGCATCGGGTTCTCTGCTCGGCAGAGATCCTGCTTCCCTCTCTCTCTCTCTGCCTGCCTCTCCATCTACTTGTGGTCTCTCTCTGTCAAATAAATGAATAAAATCTTAAAAAAAAAAAAAGAAAGGATGAATACCCAACTTTTGTAGCAACATGGACGGGACTGGAAGAGATTATGCTGAGTGAAATAAGTCAAACAGAGTCAATTATTATATGGTTTCACTTATTTGTGGAGCATAACAAATAGCACGGAGGACAAGGGGAGTTAGAAAGGAGAAGGGAGTTGAGGGAAATTGGAAGGAGAGGTGAACCATGAGAAACTATGGACTCTGAAAAACAATCTGAGGGTTTTGAAGGGGCGGGGGGTGGGAGGTTGGGGGAACCAGGTGGTGGGTATTGGAGAGCGCATGGATTGCATGGAGCACTGGGTGTGGTGCAAAAACAATGAATACTGTTACGCTGAAAATAAGTTTAAAAAATTTTAAAAAAAGAAAAAAAAAGAAAAGATGAGTGGCTAACCTAAGACATAAGGATGGAAAAGAGAGGAGATTTGAGAGGTATTAATAGGTAGATCAGTAGGACCTGTTGACTTACTGGATGTGAGGGATGAAGGATAAAAATGAGTTGGTATTGGCATCTGGAGGGCTGGTATTATTATTCAGAGAGCTAAGAAATTTAGAACAGGTTTCTGGAAGAAGAGGCATTTTGGGGCATGTTGAGCGTGAAGTACCTGTGAGGCATCAAGATGAATGTAACGCCAAGAGATAAGAAATTTAGGATTAGACATGCAGGTTTTGGAATCATTTGTGTTTAGATGGTAGCTGTAGCCACTGAAGTAGATGAAATAACCCAGGGAGAGAATGTGTGTAATGAGAAAAAAAAAGTATTAACAACAGAACCCCAAGGAAGACCAGTGTTTAGGACTGTGATAAGAAATGAACTAAGGGCACCCAGAATGGTCAGAGAAGAAGGTAGGAGAATCAGTAGAGAGCACTGGAAGCCAAGAAAAGAGAGTTGCACAACATAGAAGGTAAGGTTAACGGTGGTGATTCAACTATGATGGGACTTTACTGATTTTCTATTTTCTCTAGTTTCCTTATTTTACATAATAATTCTCCTAAATACTTAAATCCTCTGCAAAAAGAGAAGGCAATAAGGGAGAAGGCAATAAGAGAAGGCTAAATACCTCATAGAGGTCAAGTAAGAAGATGCCTGAGAAAAGGTCACTAGACTTGACAGGTCACTGTCAGAATGACAGCAGAATGACGGACGCAGAAGCTGAATTACAGGTGGTTGAGGAGCCACAAGGAAATGATGGAGTCTTTTCAAGAAGCCTGGCTGTGAAGGGAAGAAACCTTTGTAAAAAGTCTGGCAAGTGGCAGTAATGATGGTAGGACTGTGACAGAAAGCCAGGAAGGAGTTAGGAAGGAGACACCTTCAGCAGGGTCCCACATCAGCAGAACCCTGCAGGGCAGAGTTGTTATGAGTGAAAAGGCTGGTGTTTGGAGGGGTGGTGACTAGAGAAAATGGTGTGTAGACCAGGGTCTACTGTGGCATACTTCAGCTGGGGAAAAGGTGTGTAAGGGGCTCAAAATAACTGTTCTATACTTGATTTTTTAGGCAAGCCATAGATAAAGTGATATTTTTTAGAAAGTGGTACATCTTTGCTTTCTTTTAGGCAGTAGGAAGAAGAGGGGGGGATCTGCTAAGATGTTTCTTAGAAGATATCTGCAGGATAACAGACCAATAAAGCAAGACTTAAATTCTATTCAGATATGCTAAGAAATAGATATGAATCTGGCTTTTGTCTTTTTTTTTTTTAAAGATTTTATTTATTTGACAGAGAGATCACAGGTAGGCTGAGAGGCAGGCAGAGAAGGTGGGGAAGCAGGCTCCCCGCTGAGCAGAGAGCCCAATGTGGGGCTCGATCCCAGGACCCTGAGATCATGACCTGAGCTGAAGGCAGAGGCTTAACCCACTGAGCCACTCAGGTGGCTTTTGCACCTGACTTTTTTTTTTTTTTTTTTGCAGCTCCTGACTTTTGTCTTTTTAAAAGTTGGAAGGTGGGGTGCCTGGGTGTTTCAGGGGGTTAAGTGTCTGCCTTTGGCTCAGGTCACGATCTTAGGGTCCTAGGATCGAGCCCTGCATCCAGCACCTTGCTCAGTAGGGAGCCTGCCTCTCCCTCTCCCTCTGCTGCTCACCCTGCTTGTGGTTTCTCTCTGTCAAATAAACAAAATCTTAAAAAAAAAAGTTGGAAGGCATTTATATATAATTTGCAAAGTTCTGAATCAACAAACATTTGTTATTTAATTTACATAATGATCACATTAGAGATGAAGAACAAATGCTCCTAAGAGTTAGGTGGTAAGCTAAGTGATGATCTTTGGACTAAGAAGTGTTACTGTGTTAGAACCTATTCCTATTGAAAGCAAGTTGGTTAGGTTGGTTTTTCAGATGAGTACAATGAATGACAACTATAGACTACTAGAGAAAGCACTACTCTAAGCAGTATTACTTTTGAATAATTAGGTCTCATCCTAACCATTGATTCCTTTAGCTCAGTGTTTCTGAGCTAAGGGGACTCTGAGGGGATGAGTTTGCTCCCCTAGGACACACTGGGTAGTATGTGGAGACATTTTTGGTTGTCACAACTGAGGGTGGGTGCTACTGACATCTAATGGGTTAGAGGCCAGGGATGCTGCTAAACATACTACATTGCACACATCCCCCACAACAAAAAATTACTCTGTCCAAAATGTCATAGTACTGAGGTAGAGAAAGCCTGACCAAGTTTGAGGATATCTGTATCTACAATTGGAAAAGTCTTTTAGGTCACTGCCTAGAAACCAGTGTTCTAAGAATGGGTCTCCAGAAAAGTGCCAAGTTCCCTGCAGTGCTGCGGCCCACAGTCCCTGCTGTCTGGGCTTACACAGTAGTGGCAGCTCCAGCCAGTTTCTGTGTGGGCTGTCTCAGTCACCTCTGCCATGCTATCTCCTTGGATGTAGCCCATGCGGCGCAGACAGCCATCATGGAAAACCCTGGTACAGATCCTGCATGGGAAGAGGCTCTCAGCTGTCCAGACCTCACAGACATCACACATCTCATCGTTGACAACCTGGCAAAAAGAATAAATAAGGAGTGTATTCATTGCAGTGTAGGCAGCAAGGTCCTATGGCCACCAAACACAGTTACCCACATGGGGCTGAATATCCCTGGAGCAGCCCAGAAGAACAATTCCAACTGACGTCAGTGCTAAGGTGATAGAGCTTTCTCTCTGAAAGATAAGTACCAGCAAGCTCTTCCAACTGCTCAGGTCTCTGTGCCCATTTTTCTGAACAGGGATGCTACTAACATTTTTGGAAAAAATAATCCATTGTGAAAGACTGTCCCAGACATTGCAGGACACTGAGCATTCCTGGTTTTCTTGGCACTAAAAACCAGTAGCAACTCCCAGTGATGATGACCTTCTTGAATGCCCATAAATTTCCAAATGCCTCCTACAGGGAACACTACTATCCCATAGCGAGATGGATGGCAAGAGACCTGCCATGGTGTCATTCCTTATCACCCGTCTTCCAGTCTTTCACTAAGACCAACCCAGGATGTAACATTTTTATTCTTGCGGAAAAAATTCAAAGATTATTCCAGACTCAACTGCACCTTTTTGGAGTTTTTTCTTTTTGGGTCTCACTTTAACTGTACCCAGGCCTCCCTGTCTTGCTCCCTGATCCTCAGAAGGTCTAAGACTTGAGGACTGTGCCCTAACTGGATACTCACAAGTTCTCTGGGCTCCAAGCAGATATCAGGAGGCTTGTCATCATCCAGCTTCCGGGTGGGGCGGATGAAAGCCGGTGGTGTGAAACGATTACTCCTATCGAACTCCTCTGGCTCCACTCCACGCCCATCTCGGAGCCTCTCCCAGGCTGCTCGTTTGGCACTGCTCTCTTCTTGCAGCACTGGGGTACTTGCTTCTGCTTCCTTCTCCTCCTGTACCTCCTGGACAGAGCCCTCTACAGTGCCACGGCGGGACCCTGGAAGCTCACCGGTGCGCCAGATGGAAGGCCTGTCCCGTAGTCCATCCTTGAAAGCAGACACAGCCAGGCTCACCCTCTGTACCTGCTCTACTGTCTGCCGCTTGGACATCAACACCCCCATGGCTCTGTGGACAAAAAGCAGAGCGGCCCAGATTCAGCCAATGGCGGACCATGTCAAGCCAAGCAATTTCAACCATTCACCTAAGTGGCAAGTGTTATTAAATAGTTTTTCCTGGGCACCTGGGTGGCTTAGTGGGTTGGGCCTCTGGCTTCCACTCAGGTCATGATCTCAGGGTCCTGGGATAGAGTCCCACATCAGGCTCTCTGCTCAGCAGGGAGCCTTATTCCCTCTTTCTCTCTCTGTCTGCCTACTTGTGATCTCTCTCTGTCAAATAAATAAAAATTTAAAAAAAAATTTACATAGTTTTTCCCTCTTCTGGAACTCAGAGGCATGGTGGGATAGAAAAAGCACTTGTTAATGAGTCAGAAGACCCTGGTTCTATTTCTGACTGGCGCTGTGATTTTTGGTTTTCATACTTGTAAAATGAGGGCTGTCTGCTCAGTGCACTTCACAGGGCTGTCATGAGGATAACATTAGAAAATGTGCTTATTAAGTACTTAGTAGACTGGAAAGTATTCTACAAATGTGAAATGGTATCTATTTATTTCTTGCTGTCCCAAAGCCATTAGGTCCAGGGGTCCCAGGCCTCTGGAGATGGTTGGAGACTTTAGAGCTTAAGTCTCTCCTCTGCCCCGTGAGATAACCCAAGCTTAAAGCAAGATTATAGGAATACATTTCAGACTTCTGATTGAAGAAAAGCTCCTCCAATAAGTGCTGTGCTCACTGCATCGAGGGATAATCCACATCAAATTCTCACTTTTTCAGTCAGAGTGAATGCACTCCTACTTTTAGGGGACTCCTGGATTAGATAGGAAACTCTACCAACCTATCCACATGGTCAAGATCACAAAGACTCCTTTGCCCCCTCTAATTAGCTATGGTTCTTTGTAGGTCTGTTTGTCTTTTACAGACAACCTGCCCATTATAAGTGCTTAAAGTGCTTCTCAGACTTTTAAGGCTTCACTAATGTTGCTCCCATATTTTCTCTTTTGATTTTCTGAGCTGTTTAATAAAAACTTCACAGGTTAAGAAGTAACATTATCCCTGCTCTTCTGCCGTACCAGGGTACAATACCGGAAAGTGAGGGCATGACATGGCATATTGCAAAGCTGGTTTACTCTTTCTGAGCCTCGAGGGTCTTCTGAAGTAGAATTCGGCTGGGGAAAGCGTGTTCTAAGTAAAGTGAAACGGAGAGTCCATTTTAGCCTTGTTCTCAATCCATTATAATCAAGACTTATTGAACAGTACTGTGTATCAGGTACTAACTACTCATCATAGGAAATAAAAGACAGGAGGACAGTCTCACCACTTAAGCTACTTAATATCAGAACTCAAAGAAGAGGGCATCTAGATGGCTCAGTTTGTTAAGTATCTGCCTTTAGCTTGGGTCATGATCCCTGGGCTCTAGCCCAGTATTGGGCTCCCTGCTCAGTGGGGAGTCTGTCCCTCCCACTCCATCTGTCTCTCCCTTACCTCCCCGCTGCTCATGCTCTCTCTCTAATAAATAAAATATTTTTAAAAACCTCAAAGAGTGAGACAAAGTATCAGAAATGCCTAAACGAAGGTTAAGACCGCAGTACTGGGAATCAAAGCGGACCATGAAGAATGGGTAGGAAGTTATCCTCTGTTTGTTTGGATGAAAGGGGGGCAGAGGATAGGAGGAGAAGTTAGGGCCACTTAGAAGCCTACTATAATAGTCCAGGCAAGATGTAGAGGGTTTAAACTGAAATGATGGCAGCAGGAATAAAGCTGACTGAGTCTTCCTGATACCATGGGAATAGAATTAGAGAAATTTGGGAATAAATTGGTAACTGAGTGGATAAAGGTTAAAGGGAAAGAGGACAGTTTCATATTTATTTCCCAGCTTTACTAAGATATAATTGACATATAATACCATGTAAGTTTAAGATATACAATGTGATGTTTTGATATACTTATATATTGCAAAATGCTTACCATAATAAGGCTAGGTTGCTCATCCTTTACCTCACATAATTACCATTTTTTCATTGTTGTTATGGTAAGGGCATTAAAGCTCTATTCTCATAGCATCTTTCAAGTATACAATGTAGTTTTATTAATTATGGTCACCCTGCTGTACCTGAGATCCCTGGAACTTATTCATTTTATATCTGAACATCTATACCTCTTTTTTTTTTTAATTTTTTTTTTAAAGATTTTATTTATTTATTTGACAGAGAGAGATCACAAGCAGGCAGAGAGGCAGGCAGAGAGAGAGGAGGAAGCAGGCTCCCTGCTGAGCAGAGAGCCCGATGCGGGGCTCGATCCCAGGACCCTGAGATCATGACCTGAGCCGAAGGCAGCGGCTTAACCCACTGAGCCACCCAGGCGCCCACATCTATACCTCTTGACCAGTGCCGCCTCCCCATTTCCTCCTCTCCTCAGCCTTTGGCAATGGTAATTTTATTCTGTTTTTATGAGTCCAATGTTTTTAGATTCCATGTGTAAGTAAAGTTATATGGTATTTCATTCAGCCTTTCTCTGCCTTACTTACTGAGAGAGCAGTTTTAAATCAACTAACTAGTGGAATTTAAGAAACAAAACAATCATAGGGGGGAAAAAAGAGAGAGGCAAACCAAGAAACAGACTCTTAAATATAGAGAACAAACTGATGGTTACCAGATGGGAGATAGGTGGTTGGCTGGGTGAAATAGATGACGGGGATTAGGGAGGGCACTTGTGATGAGCACCAGGTGATGTATGGAAATGGTGAATCACTACATTGTACACCTAAAACTAATATTACACTGTATATTAATTAACTGGAATTTAAATAAAAACTTTAAAAAAACCTAGCAGAATGGTATTGCCATTTACAGAAATTGGGAAATGAAACAGGATTTTGTACATGTTGAATTAAAGATGTCTGGGACATTCCAGTCTTATGTTATCCCCTGCTTAGAACTTTTAAATGGCTTTCTACAGCTTTCAGGATAAAGTCATTCAAATTATGCTTTTTTTTTTTTTTTTTTTTTTTTAATTTTTGTTTTAGGTCCTTTAATTTTTTTTTTTTTTTTTTTTTTTTTTTTTTTAACCATTGCTTGTGAGGCCCTGCTTGGTCTGGTCTCCTTTCTTACTCTGTGTTCTAACCATACTGGCTTTATTTCAGTCGTTGTTTGCCATGCTTCCTATATTTTTGGGACCCTTGAACGTTCCTTCCCTCCGTTAATACCTATTCATCTGTCAGAGCTCAACTCAAGTATCACGTTCTCTGGAAGTCCAGATTGGAGCGTGCACATAACACTAGATCTGCTCTGGAGCACTTATCTTTGTCATTACATATTCAGCAGGATAATTATCCAATCAATGTCAGTTTCCTCTATTAGATTGTTTTTACCCTGGTTAGTACCTATCTCCACTGCCTAACAATGTGTATGAAAAAGAATGACAATAAACATTTCCCAGGGTGCCTGGCTGGCTCAGTCAGAAGAATATAGGACTCTCAGTCTTGTGGTAGTGAGTTTGAGACCCACATTGAGTGCAGAGATTACTAAAAACATTAAACTTTAAAAAAATAAACATTTCCCAATTAATTAATAGTGGAGCTTTTTTTATTTTACTTTTTTTTTTGTTATTTTGTGTTTTTGAAGATTTTATTTATTTGATAGACAGAGATCACAAGTAGGCAGAGAGGCGGGGAGAGAGAGATATGGGGACGCAGGCTCCTTGCTGAGCAGAGAGCCCGATGCAGAGCTCGATCCCAGGACCCTGGGATCATGACCTGAGCCGAAGGCAGAGGTGTTAACCCACCAAGCCACCCAGGCACCCCTTTTTTGATATTTTAAATAAAGTCTTTTTAAAAGAATTTACTTATTGATTTGAGAGAGAGAGTGAACAAGAGTGCATGAGCGGTGGGAACAGAGGGAGAGGGACAAGCAGACCCTGGGACTCTAGAACCACGACCCAAGTCTAAGGCAGATATTTAACTGACTGAGCCACCCAGGTGCCCCTTAAATAAAGTCTTAATACACATAATACCTTTTTTTTTAAAAAATTTTATTTATTTGAGAGAGCATGAGTGAGAGAGAACATGAGCAGGGGGAGGGGCAGAGGGAGAAACAGACTCCCTGCTGAGCAAGGAGCCTGACGTGGGGCTCAGGGCTCACTCCTAGCACCCTGAGCCTAAGGGTGACCTGAGGCTCAGGTCATGAGCTCATGACCTGAGCCTAAGGCAGTCAAATGTTTAACTGATTGAGACACCCAGGTGCCCCTACACATAATATATGATGACAACTCTATCTTCATTCCAGAAACAACTGTCATGTTATCATAGTGGTGCAAATTTCCACACTGCCTGGAATTGTCCTGCCATCAATTGTTACCAAAGAAACAACCCATGTTTTTGAATTTAGAGAATGGTAAGAAAGTAAGTATCCCCTCTCCCCATTTGTAAAATTTGCTTATAAAATTAAAGTGCATGACTAAGGAATATTTAATTTGGTGTTTTTTGTTTTTAGAGATTTTAAGTAAACTCTACACCCAATGTGGGGCTCAAACCCATACCTCGAGATCAGGAGTTGCACACTCCACTGACTGAGCTAGCCAGGTGCTCCAGAAATATTTACTTTGAATAAATAACTGTCGTTTACAGGACTGTGCAAAGAAGACTGAGTAAAGATTTATTGATCAGATTCAGGAAATTGTATTCACGTTAAGGTGCTCATGCCCAAGTGGACATTTTAAAAAAAATATTTTATTTATTTGAGAGAGAGAAAGAAGGAGAGAGCCCAAGTAAGGGAGAGCATGAGCATGAGGGGCAGAGAGAGGGGGTGAGAGAGAATCTCAAGCAGACTTCCTGCTGAGTGTGGAGACCTGACCCGCAGGGGCTCTATCTCACAACCCTGAGATCATGACCTGAGCTGAAATCAAGAGCCTGACTTAACTGACTGAGCCACCAAGGTGCCCCCAGTGGATAATAATAAATTGTGATTTAAAAAATCCTTTTTTGGCGGTTCCTGGGTGGCTCAGTCAGTTAAGCAGCCA